TCTCTTTTCCTCCATCCTCACCTGTTTTCCAAAGTTTGTAAATCTTTCTGTTTCCTCTGGCTCTATTTCTAAACTTTCTCTCTCCTGTTTTTGTACCCTCCTCCTAAAGTCCTTCTAAATCTTCCTGGAGGACAAATTCACTATATTGAAGGGCTTATTTACTGCAAACACATTTCTGGTTGGTCCTTCATTTTCATATATAAGCACAAAGCTAGTTCATGCAGTTAAATGTTCCTGATTTATAGTTAGCACAATTTCTTATTTTCTAAGCTGAGTCTGATACTATTGCTGATGCTGATTGTATTACTTTGCCAAAACAGTGTGATTGTTCTAGTTAGTTGTCTTTCTGATATACTAAAGCTGAGATTGCCAAAGGGTCATTACAGACTGAAAGTCCTAAGACCAGGTATATCTGGGAGACTTGTGTGACAAGTAATCATTCCCCAAGAGTTTTAAATACTATTAATGAAGATACTCATGATAAGCAACACCTGAGTATCAACTTAGGAATTAAGGCAAAAACATTAATGACAAAAAAAAGAAAGAAAAATGCGAAGGCAACTAAATAAGAGGTAAACCCAGAATTCCAGCTCACCAAAGGCAAATCCAGGGGACAAGAAAGTGGAACATCCCAAAACCAACTACCAGGACTCCCAGAAGTAGTAACAAGAGAAGTAACAAAATGAAGGAATAAGACTGTAGAAAAAAAACAAAAGAGAAATAATCTCCCAAATTTCTACAGAGATAGTGGCCAGAATGAAAGACATGATTAGTGACTCTAGAACAGAAACAGAAAGAAAAAGCAGAGGATCTAAGGGATATGATGGAGCTGGGGAGTTAGCTCAGTGGTGCCATTCTTGCCTGGCAAGCATAAGATCATGAGTTCATTTTATGTTACTAGGAAAAAAAAAAGCAACATGATGGAAATGATGAATTCCCAGTACAGGAAATAAATAAAAAGCATGGAACACATTGAAACACATATCCAGGAGATTAAGAATTCCACTGAAAGTATACAGAGCAGAGTGAGCCAATGTGAGGAGAAAATATTAGAGGTAGAAGACAGGATTTCACTTAGTGACCATGGGAAGAGTGATTTGTTAAAAATGCAAGGGGCCACGAGAAGTCAATTCAGCAGCTGCTATGCAAAGAAAAAGCAAGAGATTGTGAAAATGCCATAAAAAATGGTTCATAGAAGTAATGGTGGAAAACATCCCATCCGGGGAAAAGAATTTGACATACAGATAATTGAGGAAAATAGAACTTCAACTAGCCATTATAAAAAAAAAATCAACATTGAGGCATATAGTAGCCAAGATTCCAGAAACCAAGAAGAAATATTAGAAACAGAGAAAAGAAACAAATCACATACCAAGGAAAGCTGATCAGAATCACAGCAGATTTCTCTACACAAACCCTCAAGGAAAGAAGAATCTGGAATGAAGTATTTCAATCCCTTAAAGAAAATAACCTCAACCCAGAGTGGTGTACCCTGCAAAACTGTCTTTCAAAATCAATGGAGAACATACTTTCATGACAAGGAACCTCAAGCACATCAAACCAGGACTCCAAAATATTCTAAATAATATCCCAAAAAAGACAATGCTGATCACAACAGCGTGAAACCCAACAGAATGAAGCTATCAGGCAAGGCAAGAAATTCAATGGAAAAGGGAAAAAATTAAAAAACAAAAGAGCTCCAAACAGGAAAATGTCATGACAAGGATAAGTAACTATGTTTCTGTTATAATCATCAATGTTAATGGCTTCAATTCATCAATCAAGTAGATTGGCAGAATGGATCAAGAAGCAAGATCCAACAAAATGCTGCACACCAAGAGCACAGTTAATTCAAAAAGAAATTCATAGAGAAAGTAAAAGAATGGAAAGTAGTACTCTATGTGACAAGCACATGGAAAAGAGCAGGGATGGCTATCCTATTTGGTGTTAAAGTGAATTTCATACCACAACTAATTGAGAGAAACAAAGAAAGTCAGTACATTCTTTTAAAGGAAGCAATCCAAGAGGGAGAGATGACAATCTTAGTAAGCACTAATATAATACTAGTGGGAGACCTTAATATCCCACAGTCACAAAAGAATGCAGAATTCATACATATGTATTTTTTTCTAAGGAATACATAAGCTACTGGAAGCCCACTAACTAACAAGGCTGAGTCGAGGTGAAATGAAGTACCTAACATGACCAATAATTCATGAGAAGATTGAGTTAATTACTAAAAACTTCATAGGAATGAAATAGTCAAGACCAAAGGTAAGAAAATGGGCAATGGTAACATTTGCATATTTTGTTTATATCCATACACATTATTTTTCTTCCTTAAACCAATAAAAAATACTATTTTCAAGTACCAGGGATCAAATTGAGGATGTAGCACTTGCCATGCAGGTGCAGTTCCCCTGAGCTATATTGCTGGTCCATGAAAGGATTTTAACAAGAGAGTTTTATACCTTTCACTGCTGCCCAGACTGGATTTTTCCCTGTTGATGATGTGACTTCAAGTTGTTCAATTATGATAATTCCCCCAGAGGACATATCTGTGGGAATGGTATTCTAGATCACTTTTATTCTTCTAACATCTCAGTGAATTTCCATCCCCAGAATCCTGCTTAGGTCTCATTGGGTTTAATTAAGAAAACATCTCCCATTGAGATAAAGCAACTGAATGAGTCAATAATATGCAATGTTTGAAATACAAATAAAATGGCCAAAGTCTCTGTCCTTATATCAAGGAATGTTTACCTATACTAGTATTTACACAAAAGTTTTCTTAGCAGTAAACAAGATATACTGAAGGCATGATAGAATAGGGATTCAATTTTTCTTCAGTCTTTAATTAATTCTACACTCAACCATGTTGTATGAAGTCAGCTCACTGTACCTACTGGAAAATGCAAATACTCAGAAGCCCAGATCGTTTTTTAAAATAAAAATTCAAAATATATGTTCAGCTATTAATGATTCCTTCTCACACAAAACTCACCTTAAAAATCTCAAAATGCTTATTTTATATTTGTTAGTTTTAAGGACTAATTTTGCCTAAAATGAAAGTCTGGGTCTCTGTATAACAGACTTAGATTTCTGGAGGTTATAGGACATTGGTGATATTAGTTTAAAAAATTGAAACTGTTTCAAAAGTAATTTATAAAAGATGTCTGATGAGTCAACCTTCCTGGAAGCATGGATAGAACTGGTCATCAGAAACATCCCAGGGTGAAGCTATGGTTCCTGAGTTATTTTGCTTTCTGTGTATGGAGAGACGCATTGGAGCATGAAGCTGTTATTGGTTAGGACCAAGGAGAAGCATGAAAATGTGGAATGGGGAGCAAATGACTCTGTCCTGCAGGTAACTCAGGAAGTCATGTACATGTATGATTCTCAGGGAGGCTTTGCACTATGTACATTGGTGGCATAGATACCCTCTTTTAAAAGTTTTATATAATTTTATTCTTTAGGTTGTGGGGTCCCTTGTTATTGCTAAGAGCTTTGTATATTGGTTACAATATTGAACATTCCTCTTACGTTTTGCAATATTATAAAAATGTAGAATCAATCTTCCTCCTCTAATAATCAGAATTCTTTCAAACTAATTGCACGTGTAACCGTTTGGAGACTTGGTGGCAGGCTTCTGTCAGTTTCTTGATATTGTCAACAGAGCTGTCTTCTGAGCATCGTTTCAAACGTTAAAAATGAAAGTAGGATTTGGCATCTGTAGAAGTTAAAGAGAGACTCTACAGAACATAATGTAATCTGCGCTCGAGTCAGCCAGCTCCTGGGTTAATTCAAACGAATGCTGTGTCAAGGAAGAGGAGAACTCAAACTGGCTTTGGACTTACACGACCAGAGTTTGTATATCACAAACAAAGAACTGTGTTTGGCTGATTGCTAGAAAGGGAAGTGCGGTCAACAATAGAATTTTTAAGCATAAAGGCATACTGTGTGAATATACTAACAGAAGGCTGCACCTTAGGAAGGAAAATAATCATGTAGGAAATGGAGGGTGACTGGAAGAGGAGTATTGGACGTGAAAATGATGGTGGAATAAACAGCACAAGCATAGACTGGGGCCAAAGCTCAAAACACAGATATTCCAGGTCTGTGAAGAGGAGGCAGGGCAATAACAATAAATCACATTGAAGAAAATGTTAGTAGAGATTTAGAAAGCAACAGACATTACTACAATTATTTAAAAGAGAATATTGTACAGTGAGATGACTCCACTTGCAGTAGTTTTCCTCCTCTGTGTGCAACGTTCCTGTCTCTTTCATCATCCCTCTCACTGCCCTGATCTCCTTCCTTTCCCTTTTCTCTCCTCTCTTTTCCTCTCCTCTCCTAAACTCTAAACTGCTTTTCTATTTTTATTTCTGTATTCTTTTGTATATTCTTAATATATTTAGAAAATGTCCATGTGTCATCCTGAGATTTCTATTAGCTGAGAAGTTTCTTCTGTGCCAAGAATGTAGAAAAATTACATTTACTTTGTTCATGAGTAGTTAAAATATACAATAGTCTTGCAGTTGTGTTACATTAAATATTTAATCCATCTTTGTTTTTTCTTTGAGGTGTTAGCACAGTGAGCATTTCCATTATCTTCCAGACACAAGTTAGTGTGGGAGACTTACTTTTCTTTCACAGACAGTGCTTTGCTCACAGGATCCTGATTCTTTCTTTCCTTCATGGTTATCCTGCAAGATCCTTCATGTTAGGCTTCATGCTTCATCAAATCTGGATCCTTATGAGAACAAAGACCCATCACGTAAAGGTACAAGAGCCCAATGAAGAATGTAACTGTACTGTATACCTAAAATATACCAATTAACTCAGTGAGAATAAAAAATCTGAATCTTTATGAAAAGGACAGTTTAGGAGCAGAATGCATATTTAAAGAATGAATAAGTATCCTAAAATTTCCTAAACTTACTAGTAATAATTTTTTGCAGGTAATTTTGTTCTGAGAAGTTACAGGAGGACACACAGAAGGACACATGGAACAAAGGAACAATGTCACTGAGTTCGTGCTCCTGGGGCTCACTCAGAGCCTCCAGGGCCAGAAAATATTATTTGCTGTGTTCTTATTGATCTACATGGTGACAATGGCAGGCAACCTACTCATTATGGTGACTGTGGTGCTCAGCCCAGCCTTGGACTCTCCAATGTACTTCTTTCTTGGCTACTTATCATTTATGGATCTTGGTTATTCTAGTGCATCTACTCCAAATTTGCTGATAGACCTACTCCATGTCAAGAAAACCATTTCTTTCAAAGCATGTATGACTCAACTGTTTTTAGAACACATATTTGGTGGTTCTGATGTTTTCCTCCTGGTAGTGATGGCCTATGACCGCTATGTGGCCATCTGTAAACCCCTTCATTATCTGACCATCATGAACCGACGGGTGTGTGTTCAATTGCTGGTTTTGGCCTGGGTTGGGGGTTTTGTGCACGCTCTGTTGCATATTCTGTTTGTTTATAATCTACCCTTCTGTGGCCCCAATGTCATCGACCACTTCATCTGTGACATGTACCCCTTACTGAAACTCGCCTGCATGGACACCTACTTTATTGGCCTCACAGTGGTGGCCAATGATGGGGCGATCTGCGTGGTCATCCTTACTCTCCTGTTCATGTCCTATGGAGTCATTCTGTACTCCCTGAGGAACCTGAGTTGGACGGGGAGGCGCAAGGTCTTATCCACCTGTTCCTCCCACATCACTGTGGTGGTCCTCTTCTTTGTTCCTTGCATTGCTCTCTTTGTGAGACCTCCCTCTACCTTGCCCACTGATAAGTATTTAGTTGTGTTTTATGCTGTAATCACTCCGATGCTGAACCCCCTCATCTATACTCTGAGAAACACAGAAATGAAAAATGCCATGAAGAAGCTCTGGACTAGAAAATAATGTGAAGCAACAGGAATTGTATTATTTGTGCTCCATGAAGAGAGTTTCTTCTTCTAAAGAAGCCACATGTGATCATTTATTAAGTTAAATTTCCTCAGGTTTAATAATTGTCCAAAATGAATAATTTCTATTATGTGAGATCTTCCACTGACCGACATAGATTTTTAGGACTATTAGAATGTCAGAGGCCTCTGGTGGCTGTGAGTTTCACTGGCCTTCCTGTCTCTGGGCTCCTGCTCCGCCATAGCTACAGACACAGCTCTGAGCTGCTGTCTTGGAGGACCCACCCTGCAGGATTTTAGCCACAGCCTTTAGAATCATTTGCACTCTCCTTCAGGATGCATTCATTCAGTCTGTCATCTCCCTTTGATCATTTTGTGGTATATGGCATGTGGATCTTCTTCATTGTTGTGTATAGTGTGACAACTCTGGTGAGCCCTTCCTTAGTAGTCTTTGTGAATAAAAAATTTGTTCTGAAGTACAAAGTAGCACAGAAGAGGGAGCATGGTGTTTCCTAAGAAGTGACTCAAAAACCTTCTAAAAGAAAGTTCATGAAAAAAGCGATGTCTCCAATTGAGAAAGTGGGTAGTATCTTGTAGACAAAAAAGGAAGGTGTTTATTGTGAAGCTACATTTTCTGACTTCTGTAGAGAAACTGATCCTGGTCTCAGTCACTGTGTCTTCCTACTGTGCCATGAAGAAACCACAGGGAATATTTTCATTATAGTGAACCTTCAAGGGTTATTGTCCTCCTGTTGATGGGCTCCAAGCTGACCTCACCAGCTTAGCCTCTTCATCTTGTTATCCATGGTTGGCCCAGGTATTGGGAATAGGAACCAGCTCGTCAGGGTGACAGAGACACAAGATGTTTTAATATCTGGAGTGAGGGTTTAAAAATGTGTTAGAATGCAACTCATTATTTATTTATTTTCTGTTTTTGACCGATTACTGAAATTAAATGAATTGAAAGTATCAGCACATTTATTAAAAAGCTAGAAGTCTTAAAATGTGGTATAATCATCTGAGCACAAAATAACCCATTTCCTTAATCCTTCAGAGGTCACAGCAAGGTGGCTGATCTGTTACTTACAACAGTAGCAAGAAATTAATAATTGCTTCTATTTTTTCCAAACACTATATTATTACTGCTTTTGAACCATAAAATTGGAATGAATCCACCTCCCAATGGATTGAACAGCAGTCTAATGTTTACAAGGCTCCAAATTTGTGAATTAAACCCTCCATTGAAAAGAAAGACACAGCCAAGGTTGTAGCCTAACAAGTCAGTGGTATGACTCTGGCCCTGAGTGGAGTTTGCCTTGACCCAGTCCTGCTGGCTAAAGAGGTTATCCCTGGAATCACTGTTATGTGTGACCACGGTTTGATACCAAGGAAGAATGTTAAGTAACAGAGACCACCTCTGTCCTGAACATTGACAAAAAAAGACCAAAGTAATGTTTGGGAATTTAGTTCTTGAGTTTTAAAATTTTGCCATTGAATTTGTAATGACTTAAGTGCTTATCAGCAATTTTACACTAGGACTTTCATTAAGTTGACTCTTTAGTCCACAATTCCTATCTGTTGTGGAAAAAACAAAGCTCTTTTCAGCCCTAGGCTTCCAGCTGAGAGTAGTCTTGCATCTTTTTTTAAAAACTGGTGCATACACAGATATTATCATTTCCTATGTATAGCATGAATTGAAAAAGTTTGGGGAGCTCTTTTATCATGTTTCTAGAAGCTTTTGAGTAGATTCAGTAATGTCCTACAATTTGTAACCCATGGGAAATACCATATATTGCTGATCTTTAGTTTCTACTTCTAAGTTTAGGCTGAATTTTGTAAATGATATTTATTTATAACCTTTTGAACAGGTATTCATCAGTTTACCTTCACCTTCTGTGCTTCTTGATGTGTTGGTAGGCTGCATCCAAGAGATTTTGTAGGAAGATGGGGTAGGAGTGCACTTGAGCAGTCAGTCACCCAGAGGATCAGTCTGCAGTTGAGGATTAGGTTTCATTGCTGCTGCTTGAACTTTGTCACTGTTTACTTTACATTTCTGATGATTATGTGAGTGAATGGGAAACAGGAGCTTGACTGTGAAGTGGGTAACATGAAAGAGTTCTTTTTTATTATTCTTTCATTTTCTTTATGTTTGATTTTTTAAAAAATATCATGGATTGGCTGGTGCTATGGCAATATTTGTGGGTCAATGCATTTGTTTACTTGATGAGATGGTTGCTCCACAAATCCTAGGTGTAACCAGTCAGAGCTGGACCAAACATTGTTAAATTATTAGTGAAAAATTACCACTAGAGGACAGTTCCTGTGCAATGGTAAAAAAGTCATCACTAGTTTTGGTATAATATAGAGATTTTTAGATTAACTATCTGTTTAACCACAGTTCTGATTTAAGACTGAGGCCTGCTGTTTTGACTTTATGACTCATCTCTCAGATTTACAATCTCTTTTTTTGTGCAGTCTATACATATGGTCGACAGAGCCTCAATGCCTTTTTTTACAGCACATCTTGTTTATACAGTACTATAATTTTTGCTGACTGTACTGTACAGTGCACTACTGACTTTTACATTCCATTTTACATTACAGTACTGCATGTAAGAGTTATGCAAATAAGAACAAAGTCATCAAGTTAGAGTTTTGACTAATGATTTCTGTGTTCCAAGTGTCATAATGTAAATAATGTATACAATTCATCACTTAGTGACCAATTTAGTTAATGACCCAGTCTCAGGAAGGAAGCTCGTTCATTAAATGATAATTGTCTGTACAGTGTGGATGAGATTGGGTGATGAAATGGTGGGATCAGCCGAATATTTTTTTAATAACACCTTGTCTTTTATATTTTATATTTTGATGATGACCAATATAAACATATCATAATAATATATTTGGAACTCAACCTTCTGATGATAACCAACATAAACATTTTATAAGAACATATTTAGTGATATTTATTGTGGGTATTTGTTCCCATAAGGCTATCAAAATTACTGGGGCTCCTATTGGTGAACAAAGACCAGAATAAATTTTTCTGAGCATTTCTTTCCTTATTCACCAACAGGAGTCTCTCCAAACTTTCACGTTTTTATTTAATTATCTTGAGATTTTTTTTTACCATGTAAAACCAGATTGTAGCAATTAACAACTTATTTGTAATCAATAAAAATTTTATATATATTTTTTGAGTTATTGAATGTGGACAGCAATATGCATTTCATTGAACATTAATCTCTGACATCATTTTGATCAGCTAGCAACCTAGGAGAAAAGGAAGGCATGCCTTTAATAACATTTATCAAAAATATAATTGGACAAACACAAAGAAACAATTGAAGAGGCACAGACAAACATATAAGACAATTTATGAAACTAGAGTGCACTCAAATATAGTTGGCTAATTGAATTATAACATCTCTTTTAGTGAAGACTAGTCAGAACTTTTGTAGGTCATTTAACAGATCTCTTGCAATCAGAATCAGAAGGAGTAAATGTGCTTTATAACAGTAGCATAGTCTTGTGTTACAGTTAATGACAGGAGTCTGTAAGCAGAAAGTAGAAAGAAGGTCAAGTTAATCCTATTAATTACAGTCTAATTAGTGTATGAATAGCAGACTAATAGACATGATACATTAAGGAAAGATACCAGCTGAAAATTTACTCCAGCTTTGGCAGCATTTCATGTCTTAGGAACTCACTTGGTACTTCTAACCAGAAACCCGTCCTTCCAAATATATGCAAATTCACTCTATAGCTTTTGTATTATTACTATTTTAATTGATTAGTTTTTTAGTTTATTGGAAACAAATTCAAATGAGGTACAGTGGCCCCTTGACTTACAAACTTCTTTGGCTCCTGAGGGATCCTGGTTGTAACTCAAGTTGGTTGTAAGTCAATACAGTTAAGATTTGGATGTTTACTTGGCTACATATTAAAGATAAATAGAGGCAGATGAATCTTTCATTAACCTCATTACCCAAACCCAAGTTGTTCATCTGTCAGGCTAGTCATATCTTGAGGGTCCGCTGCAATATTCCCCAGACAGTTTTCACTCTATTAAAATTTCCTAATGTAAAATATTTGGGTCTTAAAAGGAAAATTTTAATGTTTCTTGGATTTTATTTATGATCCAATGATTATTCAAGGGTGTTATTTAATTTCCATGTGTTTCCATAGATTTTATTTCTTTTGCCATGGATTCCTACTTTCATTTCTCTATATCCAATATTATGCAGGGGATTACTTTTCAATTTTTTGTATTTCTTTCAGAATGCTTTATGGCCTAACATATGATTTATTTTTGGGAAAATTTCCATGTTCTACTGAAAAAGTTGACAGAAGAGTGAAGCCTTAAAGGGAACATTATTTACCTTTTCCTTTCTTCTTTATTTCTCTCCTTTCTTGTTCTTGTTTTTGTCCTATTTATTTCTTGATTGCTCTTAATTTCACAGGGGCATGAATACAGTTTCTAGTTTCCCCATTTCTCTTAAATTGGTCTCTTCTTGTTCCTTTGTTTCTTTCTCCTCTCTTTTACTCCTGTCCTTACCAGTTTTCCAAAGTTTGCAAAATCTTCCTGTGTTTTCCAGCCCTATTTTTAACATTTCACTCTCCTATTTTCTACCCTCCTCCCAAAGCCCTTCTAAATCTTCTTCCTGGAGAATAAACTCAATATATTGAAGGGCTTATTTACTTTCCAACACATTTCTGGTTGGCTCTCCATTTTCATATATAAGCACAAGGCTAGTTCATGCAGTTAAATGTTACCTATGTATAGTCAGTGCAATTTCTTATTTTCTAAGCTGTGTTCAATGCTATTGTTGATGCTGATTGTATTACTTTGCAAAAGAGATGTGATTGTTCTATTTAGTTGTCATTCTGGCATACTAAAACTGAGATTGTGTAAAGGTCATTACAGACTGAAAGTCCTAAGACAAGGTATACCTGAAAGGCACATGTATACTAACAAATAAACATTCCCACAAT